ACCTTGAGACATACTCCGTGTCCCTACCACCACCAGCACCCACCCACCCCCGCGAGGCGGATGAGGGTGAAGCCCGAACGGAGCTGTTTGGTTTGGGTCCTGACACAGCTCCTGGCTGCACAGCAGGGACAGTGGGCCATTGTGAGCCTTGGGCAGCCCTCCACGTGTACCGACACTCGGTCTTTTCAACAGCCTCGGAGTTCAGCCCTTTCCAGCTTCCTACAGAGGAAGGGGGTTGGCTCTGGGGCCTACTGACGGGTGAACGCAGCTCTTGAGACTGGAGAGGGGCTTCCCAGGCAGGCTGTGTGCCTGCTGGCAACCCAGCTGGTGCCAGCTCTGTCCATCCCCAGATGAGGACAGAGTGGAAGTGGGCACACTTAGGGCATGCAGCTGGCTAGGTCCTATTTCCCTGAGCTTGGGGTCAGTCCTTTCTCCAGCAGATTAATCTGTCCTTGGATTAATCCCCAGGCCCAACCATATATACCTGTCAGGATCTTGCTAGCTGACCAGCCAAGGACTTAAGGCAGGTCGGACAGCCTAGGCTCTGAGTGCACAGCCTGCAGCCTCTCCCCAGGCCAGGCCTGACTTCAGGCTGCTGCAGCTGCCAACTGGTATTTGTATAAATTGTCAGGAAGCCTTGAAGGCAGAAATGACAGTCCTTGCTCTCCAGGGGAAATCCCAGGGACTCATAGAGGTGGTCTCTTGTCCAGGAACACAGGGCTTGAGAGCGGCCCTGTCTACCAGGACTGACTGCCAGGCTCCACAGCTGTGCCCTCCGCTGGTTCCAGCCACACAGGTCCACTGGGCTTACACAGGGGCACCCTGCATCTCCTTTATCTTCCTTCACCCCTCAGACCCCAAGGATGGGGAAAGAAAAGTATCCCTGAGAGAGTTTGGACACAGCAAGCCATGATGGCTTATGGGAGTACAGTCCCTGTGTCCTAGAAGGACAGGAGCTCTGTACTTAGGGCCACCTCTGCCTCCTTGGGGACAGAGCCCTGAGAAGCTAGAGGGATCCCCAGACAGCCATACTGCCTGCTAAGGGCACTCACCCCCAGAAGCTTCGTAGTGACCAGACATAGCCTTTCTGTACAGACTGAGGAGGTCTCCGTAAGCTCCAGGCTTGGCTTGAGCCTGTGCTGGATGCCAGGGCAACTGGATGCTCTAGTGTAGACATGCGTGCGCGCGTGCGCACACACACACACACACACACACACACACACACACACACACGTCATCAAGACAAAGTTCTGAGGGCTAGAGTCTCAGAAACTGCTCTGGGCATTGATATTTCTCAGTGGAAGCTCAGCTTCTCGGGATACCCGTTTCCTGCCCTGCCAGCCCTCAGGATGGGCCCTTGGCTACCATGAAGTACCAGTACTGTGCATGTCTACTTTCTGGATCTCCAACCAACATGATGGTCAGGTGGGATGATAACGATGTTGGCCCTTGTCTTGTCACACGCAGCACTTTTGGGAGAGACCCTGACCTCTAGGGGCTGCTGACATCAGCCTTGCATACGTTCAGCACAGAGGCCTGTAACTTGCGTCAGCCTGAGTAGAGTTTGTGTGGCATCCCCAGGCAATTCATCCTCAGCTCTTACACAGTCCCCAAAGCTCCTGAGTGCACACAGCAAGGGAGCCTCCGCCCAGAGCCACATTGAAACAGCTTCTCTTTTCTTTGGGGCCCTGGCCTGAGCGACGGAGGGTGGCCCAGAGTTTCTGAAAGCCCATATCCTAGACCATCTAGAACCCTGTGAGAGTGGTTTTATTACGAGGGAATGCTTCCCTTTCCTGTGCAATGTCAGAGTCATAGAGGAGCGTTGCTGGCTCAGAAGAGGTTTCTGTGTGACTGGCTCTCCCTGCCCGAGAGGAGGGGCACAGGCCTCGTCTGTCTGTACCTCCAAAAGCTGCCTGCCTTCCTAAGGTGTCTGGGGTGGGAGCCGCTGGCCCAGCACTGCCCTCACTCTTCCCCAGGGGCCTGGCCTGCGGGACAGAGCAGGGTAAGGAGGGCTGCTCTGGGACAGGCACGGGACCAGTACCAGCTTGCTCACCTTTCCTATTGCTGACTTTATGCCACTTTAATTTGGGAGGAAGCTGCAGGAATTCATTTCGAAGTTATAATTAAAATTTTCACTTGCCTTAGTCAAACAGTTGTGGGTTTAATGGAAAGGTGTTAATAAAGGAAGAAGTTAATTTTAAAAGAAGATGCTGTTGAGTTGAGCGTGTGAGCATGCACCTGTGGACACAGAGCCGGGGGCACATGAAGCCCCACACTTGGTCGTCCGAGTCTGCTGCCTGCTCACAGCCTGCTCTTTCTCAGGCCTTTGGAGACTCTCAGGCACTCTTTGGCACTCTCAGGGACCTGCCGTGAGAGATGGACAGAGGCGAAGGGCAAACAGATATGTCCTCTGCTCAAAAGTCCACCTGGAAGGAGGGTTGTCTGAGCTTGGAGTGGGAGGGACGCTTGGGGTCTTCCTTCTGCCCTTCCTGTGACTGACAGGAGCTTGTGTGGCTCACAGGAGTGCCACAGCACTGCTGTGGGGTGCTGGGTGAAGGACTGGGTGAGCCCTGTGTGCCGTGGGCTGTGTTTCCCATCTAGAAAGGGTAGCTGATGGCAGGTGGCATTCCTGACAGCTCGGCACGCGCTCCCTGCCTCTCTGGTCAGGTGAAGGTTGCAGGTCTTCATAGTAGGGATGGCATAGAGTGTTCGTGGTGTTCCCTGGAGGGCCACCTCCTCTCCCCTTGCCCCCGGGTGTCCTTGTGCTAAGCAGCATCTCCTGTGGGAGTGGCGGTGCACATGGACTGCTGGCGTTAGGAGGAGCACTGGGCATCATTGCCAGCATCTCTAGTCTCTAAGCGTGACTCACCTCCTTGTCACACCCAGCTCTGAAAGCCAGTGAAGTGTGAGGCTAGCAGTGGCAAAGGGAACGGTGTGTGGCTGCCAGAAGCAGGCATGGCCCTCTGCCCAGCCTACCAGGACAGAGAACTCTGGCAGGCCACTCTTTGAGCTCCTATTTCCCCATCAGAAAAATGGGAATACAGACAGCCGTCCAGGGTGTTCGTAAACAGAAGTAGGACAGCGTGGACTCCCGCCGTGCTCTGCTATTCTGCACCTGCTCCATCGCATTGGACTCTGTTGTTTCATGAGCTTCGTGCATGCCGAGAGTACGAGGGTCAGTGAGTTAACAGCCGTGTGTGCTTGGATTAGTAATGTGCAGCCGAGAAAGACCCTGGGAACACTGGGATGGCTTTAATAGTTCACCGCCTGACCTCTGCCACTGGGATTGCCCAGGGCTGATTTCATTGGTCCGTCTGTATTTAACTGAGTCTTGGCATAGGAAGGAACCAAGTTTGCTTCTCGCTTTCTCTACGTAGCCCCTCGGTCTCCTCAGGGCATAGGCCTAGCCTTTCTTCAAGTGGCTGCTTCTGGTGTCCCGGACCTTTTCTTGTGGAGACTGTGTGAGGCGTTCACAGCTATGCTTCTGGCAGCTCTGGGATCTGGGGGAATCATCTTTGGTGGAGTCCTCAGTCAGCCATAGGATTGGTAGAGCTGTTGGGAGTGCTCACCCTCTCAAAAGCCAAGCGCCCCAGGAGATGGTTTGCTGAGGCTGCTCCTCACGTTAGGTTAAATAAGCCAACCTTGAACTCTTCTATAAGATGATGTCAGCAAGAGAGATCCTGGCTGGTGGTGTGTGATAGACTTTTCCTGTCTACTTACTCCAAATAAGGGAGCCCATGATAGACCAAAGTAGGGATACAGATACCAGCAAATCTAGTGAATCGGTGAGTTTCATTGGGGTTATTAGAGGAATATTACCAAAGTCCACCTCAGGATACTGCTCACAGAAGTCTGGGAACCTGGAGCACACGGCGCGGCCTTCAGGCAGCTCAGTAGGTTAGGGAGTGTCCTTTCCAGGCAGCCCCACTGGCTGCTTCTTTTAGGCTGCTTGACTGGTCTAGATTTGTTTGAGCTCGGCTTGCCTGAGAGTGACTGTCAGCAGTCTGTCTTGGGAGGGAGAGGCGGAAAGAATCTGGTCAGTTTCAGGGAGTTCCTGAAACTGTTTTACCTTTTGTCTTAAGGGGGTTACCTGGGAGACAGGGTGTTTCAGTTTTGAGGAAACAGCTACACAACAGCTGACAACTTGGCTTAAGGCAAAAAAAGGTAGGTAGATAGATAATAGTAATTATTATTATTACTATTATTTATTTTCTTTTGAGGCAGGGTCTCACTGGGTAGTCCTGGCTGGCTTAGAACTCACTATGTAAATTGTGCTAACTTCAAACTTACAGTAGTCCTCCTACCTTTTCCTCCTTGAGTGCTGGGAGCACCTACTGTGTGCCATAGGCAAGCAGGAAATATTTAGTGGACACAAAGGTCCTGTAAAAGTCCATTGTCATTTTTATATTTGTTTTTTTTAGGGGGGAGGGGGATGACAGGGTCTCACTGTGAAGCTTTGGCTGGCCTCAAACTCAGAGACCAGATCCTCCTGCCTCCCCGATGCTGGGATTAAACGTGTGTGACACCAAGGCTGGCCCACAGCCACTCTTGGCCTTACAGAAGAGGATGCTGAGGTCCTATGGCTATCCAGAGCTTTGGAGAGTACCCCCGGCTGTGCAGACCTCACCTGCACCATCTTGCCTCAGGGTCAAGGTTGTCCTTGACAGCAGACTAGGGTGGGTCCACCCTCAGGACAGATGACCAAGAAGCCTTCACGAAGGCATATGGCTTCCTGTGTAGACCGTGATGAGGCCTACACAGCCCACCCAGTCTTCAGAAGGTAGTTGACCTGGTTGTGCCCCTTTTCTATGGGTGGCTCAGCCTAGGAGACATGCCCTTCTGAGCCCTTGTGAGTCAACTACCAGGGGAGGCCCTCTTCATATCTAGCGTCGAATTCTTGGCCCACCTGACCCCCAGTCCCTGCAGATATTCTTATAGACTGGTAAGTACTGAGTTCCAGGGAGCCAGCCGCACTCATTCCATCCTTCTGTCTTTGCCAGGGCAGTGACATCTCTAGCTCCACCTTTGCTGATGGCGAGCTCCTCCTCAGGGAACCCGGCTTCTTCCAGGAAGACGAGGAGGAAGCGATGACAGTGGCCCTGCCTGAGGGACCCCAGGAGTTAGACATGGACAGCCCCATGGAGAGCAGCCAGGGCCCGGAGGGATCTGTCAGGAGTTCTGGCGAGGAGAAGGAGCCTGAGCTGGGGACCCTGTTCCTGCCTGAGGACAAGTGAGTGAACAGAATCGGCTGTGGCCCCAGGGCCAGAATTGTAGGTCCTGGAAGGTATCCCCAGAAAGTACACATGACACCCTGCAAGGGTCATAGGTTTCTGCATAGGAGGGGTAAATCTAGGATTTCAGGCTGCTGTGTAAAAGTCAACTCTCTCTGGCAGGGAAGGGAAGGTTGGGACAGGGTCTCACTTTCTTCCTGACAGGCCTAGAACCCGCTATGTAGACTAAGCTAGTCTTGAAGTCACCGAGCTATGCCTGCCCCTGTCTCCTGGAATTAAGGGCATGCACCACCATGCATGGTTTTCAGAACTCCACTTCTAATGACCGCTCAGTGATTCGGGATGTGTGATCTTGGTTAGTTTTAAAAAGCAGGTACAGGGCCTAGGGCATAGCTTAGCGGTGGATCACTTAACCTACCGTAGGGGAGGCCCTGAGTAGATGGTAGTCCCAGCCCTGTGTTTAAAAAAAGAGGGAAGAAAAGAAAAAGCTGGTTATAAAGATGTATTATGAACTGCCCAGGAAAGGATCTTAGAGATCGAGCTGATGATGGCTGGGGAGGTGGGGATTTCTCGTTTAAATTGCTTTCCGGCTACTTTCTACAGTCTGTATTTCTGTGTTGATGATATGCTCTCATCAGAAGTGTTTTAAGACAGTAGTGAGGTCTGAGTGGACTGGGCTTGTGTTTGTAACTCATTGAGAGAGCAGTTGTCCAGCATAGCCATAGGTTCAAGTCCCAGCACTGGGAAAAGGAGACTGAACATTTGCCTAACTTCTCTGCAGAGCAGCCGTGCTGATGTTTAGTTTGGTGTCAGAAAAAGGGAATCTCTTTGGGAGAGGGAGGGGGAAGGGAGAGAGGAATAAGGAGCTCTAGCAGTGCCTGAACCAAATGAAATTGCCAACTTTTTTTTTTCCCCTGAGACACTTTTCTTTTGTGTAGCCCTGGCTGTCCGGAACTCACCCTGTAGACCAGGCTGGCCTCAGGGATGTGCCTGCCCCTGCCTCCCAAGTGCCGGGATTAAAGGAATGTGCCACCACATCTGACTTGGTGTTAGACTTATTTTTATATGTATGAATGTTTTGCCTGCATGTGTATACGTGCACCACATATGTGCACGTGTGTATACCATGTGTGCCTGTTGCCCGCACGTGGCAGAAGAGGGTGTTGGATTCTCCAGAACTGGAATTCTGGATGGTTGTGAGCCATCATGTGGATGCTAGGAACCAAACCTGGGCCCTCTGCAAGATCAACAAGGTTCCTCATCACCGAGCGATCTCTCCCGCCTGAGGGTTTAAGACTTACTTATATTTTTTAATCGTGTACGTGTTCACTTGGGTATGTGGAGGCCCAAAAAAGGAGATTGTGAGTTTGTAGGGGCATTTGCAGATGCTGGGACCTGAACTCGGTTCCTCTGAAGAGCAATGTATTCTCTTAACTGCTGAGCAGTCTCTGCTGACATTTATGAGGGGGAAAGGAGCAGTGTGAGCCATTCATCCCCCCAGGGGAGACAGAGCGTGAATGCCAGGGGACCCTGTCATTAGTGCTGTGATCCTTAAGCAGAGCTGGGGTTCCCTGGGGCCATGTTCGAGAACTAACCTGCATGCCCATCCCGTGTGTCAGGTCATGTGTCATTATCAATGCCCCTGCCACCGCCCTTCCAAGTTTCCCCGCTATGAGTGTGGACTCTCTGAGTTTGGGGAGTCATGATCTGTGACTGTTGGGAAATGGGCAGCCTATGAGCTGAGCCTCTCTTGCTGTCAGGTGGCAGATGGCCCCAACCAGGCCTCCTATATCACATGGGTCGCCCATGAGTCCTAGAGTCCGGGGTCTCTGACAGGTATTCTTTAGAATACTTGGGCATCTTGGGGCTAGAAATGCCCTTTTATAAATTGGGGGCTGAATCTCACCTTGTAGCTCACTGTTATTGTCATGCTAAAAAGCTAGTAAGGGCTAGAGAGCCTGCTCAGTGGCTAGAGGTGCTTGCCCCTGCCTAGTCTGAGCTCCAGAGCTCACCTACAAAGCTGGATGTGGTGGTGAGCACCTGTAGTCCCAGCACTCTGCAGAGACAGGAGCATCTCCCAGGCGAGCTATCCTGGAGGATGCTGCAGACAAAGCAGGGATTCTGCTCCTGTCCTTCGACCTCCACTCCTGGGCTATGGCACGGGTGTGCCCCCCAATATAATAACAATAATAATAAATTTTTAAAAATAGCTAATCAAAATTTGGAAAAGATGGGGAAAGTGAGAAGGGAGAAAATAACCCACACCCTTAACCCAAGTTCTGCCACCATGTTACCATTTGTGCTTTCTACTTTTTTCTCTTCCTTCCTTCCTTCCTTCCTTTCTTTCTTTCTTTCTTTCTTTCTTTCTTTCTTTCTTTCTTTCTTTCTTTCTCTTTCTTTTTTTCTTTCTTTCTCT